CCCATCCCCAAAATGGGCGGTCTTACCCGCGTGGTACCCACGTAAGAGCCCGCCAAAGTTTTTTGCGGGTAAGCTGCTAACTCGCGAATTAGAAAAGCTAGAAAGCTGAAATTTTAAGGGGATGTTCTCCATCCAACTAGTATTAATGAGTTCAAACCCAGCTCCCGGGTAAGCGTGGTACCCGCGTGCGGGCCCACCCAAATTTTTTTTGGGTAAGTTGGTAACTCGGGGATCTGAAAAGCTAGAAAGCTGAAATCTTAAGGGGACGTTCCCCGACCAAGTATATATCAATGAGCTCAAACTCAGCCCCGGGCTGTGCGTGGTACTCATGTACGGGCCTACCAAATTTTTTTCGGGTAAGTTGATAACTCAGGGATCTGAGAAGCTAGAAAACTAAAATTTTAAGGGGTGTTTCCTGATTGATGGCCAGTTTTAATTTGTTTAGCTAGAAATATTTGCCGGGTAAACTAATATCGGTAGCGACAAAAACTGCGGGGAACTATGCAAAAAACGCATCTTCGCACGGGCAACCCGTGCGTTGGCCAGTTATTTCTTCTGTGTAATACAAAAAAGCATATTGTAAAGCTGTATGTGCATGTGTGTGTGCATGTGGGCATGTGCATGTGTGTGTATAATCTTTGATCTGCAGTTTGCAAAAACTGTGAAGTAGAAATTTTGGCAGCTTAGTCTATTAATATTTACAGATCTTCCGACGTTCACGTCCTCTTAGTTTATTGCAGTTTTTCTGGTTTGGTGTTACTTTGCTACATCTACTCATCAGGCGTAAATACGCCAAGTTTTTTTTCTGAGTGGCATTTTTGTTTTTTTTTCCCACCTTTACCTTAATTTTTCGATTCACAAACAAAAAGCAGCCTATTTTACATTTTAGACTACTTTCGTGTTCTGTTGTAGGGTAACCAGTGGAAGTAAGATTGATGCAGCGAACGAGGAAACTTTAAAGCAAGAGCTAAAAGAAATCCACGAAGTAGCTGGGACGATTGACGAAATGAAACTGAAAATGGATGAGCTGAATAAACGTGGTAATGCACTGCTCGATCGTTATCGTGCTGATGAAGGCCATAACCTGTCACATGCTACATCAAAGCTGAATACATTGTGGAGTAAATTTAATGATAAGTAAGTACAGGATTTTGTGTTTTTTCTTATTTTGCCGCGCACTAGTCGTCATCGGTCATTCCTGCGAATCACCAAAGGTCATTTCTTATAAAAACTTGTTTAGAGCTACTACTGTCCTATAGCTTGACCGAACGTTTGCTTGTTATAGTTGAAACCTCCATGTTATGGTTTTACTATTAGGTATCACTGCATTCGTTGCGTACTTTGAGCTTATTTTCAGTGTTCGTATTCGCCGTGCAGTACTGGAAGCAGCTCTTCGAGCACGAAGTGATTTTCATGCAGCGCTGGAGCAGCTGGAAACGTGGATGGATGGCGTGGATGCGTCATTAACGCAACTAAACGAGGCAACATCGAATATCCAAGCACTCAAGGATTCCATCAAACGTAAGGGATGGATCGAAGATGAAAAGGTTGATATTTTTCATTTTTGCATAAGAAGCGAGACACATTTATGAACAGAAAGAAAGTAGGCAAAATTTCCCTTGAAAAACTTACGAAAAATATTGCTCATTTATAAAATATCTTTGTTTTTGTCATTCATAACATGTTTGTCTGAATCCATACTTCGTTTTGATGATTTACACCTACTTAGTACGGCATATTCTTATTTTTGGTAGAAGTTACCAATAATCAGCCTTTTCTTCTTGCTCTCTGAGAATAGGGGAGATTATTGTCGATACAGTTTTTGTGTTCAAATTGATCTATGGTCAGACTAATTTCGATTTAAAAGAATTTCGAGGTTTCAATCTGAATATAATTAGAGCTTTAAAGAAGACTGCTCAACGTTTTTTAAGTAGAGAGGTGTAAAAATGTGCATTATGTGTCTGGTTGTCCATGCTCCTTCTGTGTTGAACATTTTCGATGCTATTGGTAGTCCCGCTAGAAGGACTAATTCCATCGTTTTGAAAACATTTTCTTCAAATTTTATTTCAGTGTTAAGTTTTTTCGTCAGTGTAAAAAATGTACATTCGGGAAGGAAATAAGAATATAAAAGATTCCATTCGTAATTTGTTGGCCCGGAAACACCTCCGCAAAATTCCTGCTTGGATCAAAGGGTTCGGATCAGTCGCGCATCTATCTTTGTAGGTCATAGGGAAAAGTCAAAAGTGTAGCTGATGATAGTGTCCTCGACCAAAATTCCCCCTTTATTTTCAATTCCGTTCATTGCTTCCTTACACGATTTCTGCATATATCCCTAAATATAATTTTTAAATATGATTCTTTATTGTTGAAATCGTAACTGTGTAGTTATAAAAGAATGAACATATTTTAAAAAAAAAATTTCGATGAGCGGTACACTTTTTGACAAAGCAACTTTTTTCCATTAATTCACACGCT